CTGTTGTTGTTAACTTGTCCAACTAATCTTGATGAACTGAAGTCTATGGAATGGTTTTGTTGCAAAATATGATGGGAGACTGCTGATTTTTCAGGTCTTTCATATTTTAAGTGTGCTTATATCTTATTTTGATAGATCTTTTTGTCTGTCCATAATATTTTGCATCGCAGTTCTTACATTTAATTTAGTAAATTCCAGACTTTTCCGATTTCTCGACTTTGTCTTTTGGATTTCCTAAACGGCTCTGTAGTGTATGACTTGTTTTAAAAACCCACCTTCATACCTACTTCCTCGAAAATTTTTCTAAAGTTCTTTGTGTATTGATGGTATGGAACTGAGATACATTCATCGTGGTTTTGTCGTTTTTAAAAGTCAACATATCATTCATTTTTAACCTATGGTGTAAATAAGGGTAACATTGTAAGTATGTTCAGTTTGATCTTCCTCTTGAAGATGATCACTTGGTGATCAAAACACATGTCGAGGTGTTAAAATAACGGTTTGGTGTTGGGAAAAAACTCCAGTAATATTCATTTTCCTAGTTATCAACTAATACTCACAATGAATTTCCTAATAAGAATAAATAGCTTAATGACTAGTACTTTGTAATATGTAATTTATGAAAAGCCTTTATTTCACTCAAAAACAAAAATTATTAAAAAAATCCCTTTTGTAGTACTGATAGAGCTTACCGGAAATACTTGAGGATGGATTCTGTCCCAGCGATATTTGTTGTGGACGAAGATGAAAATTTAGGAGAATGTTTTAGCGACATATGTAAACAGAACCCAGATCTGGTCAATGCCAGTCGCCAGCAGCTGTTGAAGCACATGAGACGACTTCATATTGATGGAAATAAAGAGAATACTCCATCTAAATCGCCAAAAAAGGTATTTATATCCTTCATCGTCACTTTTACCAAAGTCCAACAATTCAATTTTTGTAACAAATTTTTTCAAGGCCAATGGTGTCCTGAACTCTGTTTGCCATGTCGATGATGAAGAAAGTTGTATGGAACTTCTTATGTGTTCAACTGATCCTAAGACATGCAAGATTCACTGCGTAGCAGCTGACAAGACCAAATGGTCATTCATTCATGACGAGTTTCAACTGGAGGAACTGGAACGTGGCCTCAACAAAAGGGGATTGAGGGAAGGAGAGCTGCTTCACGTGATCAAGAATGACAGAATTAGGTTGTCGAATGTGATAGCGCAGACGCCTGTAAATTATTTGAATCCCGATGTTGAGATTGCTGATGACGAAGAAAAACGTACCAAAACATAACCACNTTACTTTGCCTTTTTTATGTGACTTATTATTTCTCTGGTATTTGCTGGAATTTTCTCAAAAAAGTAATCAATTTTGCCTCTGTTCAGCAAAAATGTTTATATAAATTCTTTTGTCTCCTTTCATCTGAAATGAATTTCTGTTCATGTCTTATTCATTGATTGATTCAGGAATAAAAAAGTCAAGGACAAATATGAAGACGCTAATTTGGGATATGCGTCCACCATGGCTCCTGAAGAGGTACTTGAGAATGCTCTGCTTGACAACATTCTTGAGATGGAAGAAAAAATATATGCTGGAAGTCTTGGCAGCCTGGCGGTGATGGACAGAGACGAGTGGAGAACATGTTTGACACGAAAAGACTACGATAATTTCGAGAAAACCATAATCAAACATGATAAGGCAAAACTCTTGAAAATCAAGAAAGCAGAGAAGAAGAGTAATAGTAGACCACCAAGCCCAGATAATTCTAATGTCAAAAACGAGTTCAAGGAGTATCAGGACCCTGGTCGCTATTTGGGAACAACTAGGGATGCTGAAATAGAACAGTGGGATGATGATTGTAAAGTTCCTCTTGAACCACCTGAAAATTTATTGCGGTCAATAGTAGGACTTTCTACAGCGTTAGCTCAGGTCGCCCAGGCAGTTGATCCAAAGTATTTAAAGAAACCTTTAGGTGAGTAATAATCAGTGATGGGATCATTCGAATTAAAAATAATCGGTCATTCGATTATTGCAATCACTCGATATATCTCGAGATGTCAAATGGAATCATTCGAATGATTCAGATCATTCGAATGTTGAATGTATCGAATAAAATTAGTAGTGACTGAAATAGTCGAAAACAGTATAAAAGTCTTGCGCCACTACGCACCAGTGCAGTGCCGGCCTATATACCGACACTTGTTTGTAGGATATGATGAAATACAGGTTTGGGCTGAGAATGTTCAGAAATTTGTTGACGATAACATTTAACTCAGAGTATACAGGCTCATTTTAGTGAGAAGTTTTTTCACTGTACTTCTGAAAAGTCTGAGTGGCAGATGTTTGATTTTTTCAGGAAGTAAATTGAAGCAAGTGATGCCAATTGATTTGCTTTTATCCAATCTTCTTAAGAGGGGCACAATATTATTTCCATTGCGTGTTTTGTAGGAATGAATATCCGAGTGTGTTGTGAGTGTGTGATAATTTTCTTTGACATGCAGAACATTGTCAAAGATAATTTGTGAGAATAGAGTCATGATTCCTGTATTCTCAAACAAAGGCTTACAGTGTTCATTATATTCAGTTTTAACAATGCTACGTACAGCAGCTTTTTGCAAGACAAATACTTTTTGAAGATGGTGTAGCTTGCATTACCCCAGCACAGCAACCCATAACTCATTGCTGAGTGGAACAAGGCGTAGTATGTCATTAGAGCTGTTTTCTGACCAGCCGTTGTAGCTATTCGCCTAATGGCATAAAGTAATAATGAGTAGTTTTGAGATATTCTCAGAGCAACGTTTTGTTTTGAAATAATCATTGATATGATTTTTTTACATGGCCCGTAAAAAGATTTAACCCTAATTAAATTGAACTCTCATCATTAACACAACAATGTACTGCATATAGAAGAAGGTGAGTTTCTGATATCCTATTTGACAGATCATAATCAACAAGTCGAAGTTATCAATCAATTATCGAATAGCTTAGTTATACGGCATGTACCACAAGGAAGCATTTTGGGTCCCCTATTGTATTCACTGTACGTATCAAATTTTCACACTTATATTTCCTATCATAACTATCATTTGTATGCTGATGATACACAAATTCATTATTCTTTTGAAATTAACCACACTCGACAAGCAAATGACATGATCAACAGTGATTTATCCACAGTAGAAACATTGTCTGAAAAACTTCACCTCAAAATCAAGGCCTCAGAGTCTTCTGCCGTCATATTTGAAAACGGGATTCAGAAAAAGTAGGCAATTAGTCAATTAAGAATTCTAGTCAATAATGAAAAATTAATTTTCAGTGATCATGCAAGGTTTATATTTAGACACTAAGCTTCAGTTCGATAAACACTTTACTGTGAAATAACATATGCTGCTCTGAAACTATTATATCCATATTAGAACTGAAAGAATGTTATGTGATCATCGATGTTATTCCATTTCAACCACTGTGATGGAGTATATGGTACTTTTCTTTGAAAAGCTGGGGCCAATTTATATTCAGAAAGATCAAAACTTCTGTCTTTGATCGATTCATGGTACGAGGAGGAGATACTGAATCTCTCACATACTAAAAAAATGGGTTGGCCTGAAAATGAAACATCGCCTTGAGTTACATTAAAATTGCCATTGCCATTTCTATAAAATCCTCAGAACTGGAATCCCGGGAAGTTTGCCCAAAAAAAATCACATTCAGAACTATTGTTCACATTTCGAATCTGAGAAGAAAAAAAAATGATATGACGTCCACACAATAAGAAAATTTTGAAGTTGTGTTTCTCACACCAAATTGCGATTGTATGTATTTTACTGGATATACCAAATTTAGATTTTTCTCGTATGTTTTTTTGAAAAATTAGACAAATTTCGATTCTCATATCAAGCTTTTCCTCAAGTAGTAAACCATGTCCCATTTTGTAATGAGAAAACTCATCCTCAACCAGATTCATCAACAGAGTTCAAACAAGGCATGTACCTGTCATCGTAGTTAAAAAGTGCACAAATGAACTCGCACCAGTATTTTTCAGAATTTTCAACCTGTCTGACAAGAAAGGGGTTTTTCCTTCTTTTTGGAAGATTGCTCGCGTTCAGCCTATTTCCAAAAAGGGCAAATAATTATAGACCAGTCGCTTTGCTATCAGTCATATCAAAAATCATGGAGAAAGTTGTAAACCACCATATCCTCAAATATTTAGAAGTCTTCAACATCTTGAGCGATAATTAATATCGTTTTCAGAAACAAAAATCAACAGGTGACCTTCTATCGTATGTCACCCATATTTGTAATAACGCAATCTAGAAACAAATCAAATCAAAATATGCTTTATTACCCAAGATATAAACATCTTATTGGCAAAGTAGATTTGATCAAGTAAATTGGAGGATGTATTGCTATGCCAGAGAATAGTGGTGTCGTCAGCGAAACATGTGAATTTACCACTTATGTTAACATGGACCAAGTCATTGACATAAATGAGAAACAACACCGGTCCCAAAACGGAACCTTGTAGAACCCCACTGTCAATGAAGCGTTCCTCTGATGAAATTCCATCTAATAGAACAGAAACATGAAGAATCAAGAGCTGTTGCGCTTGATATTTCTTAAGGCCTTTGACCATGTGTGGCATGAGGATTTGCTGACCAAACTTCGATGTTATGGCTTGTCGGATCATTTTGGTATATGGCTCTTCAGCTTTCTGAAAGAATGTTTCCTGCAAGTGGTCGTCGATGGATATCTCTCGAATACTTATACAGCGCTGGTGTTTCCCCGTTGTATATCAACGACTTATTGGAAAAAATCAAGAATCCAATATATTGCTTTGCTGACAACAACACACTTGTCTCGTCATTCCATTTGGATTCCAGGACATCGGCTACGGAGGCACATCTTCACAGGCAGCAGGAGATTGCATACATTAAAGAGGATCTAGAAGTGATTTTGAATTGGGGTGAAAGTAACCAATTCAATGCCACAAAAACCCAAGCTCTCCAAACCGGATATAATAATGTCAGGTCAGATAATTCCGCTTTCTGCTTCAATATCACTGGAATTGCAAAGGCTGCTTCAGCAAAGGCTGCTTCAGAAAAGTGTACACACCTCAGAAACTTTTGATGCTTTATAAAGCTCGGATCAGACCTTTGGAGTATTGTTCTCATGTATGGACTCCGCCCCAAACATACCCTGAAGTTGCTGGAGTCCATCCAAAAAAGAGCCTTCAGCCTGATTGGAGACGCGAACATAACGTGCAACCTTGATAGCCTGGAACATCAAGAACGGTTGTAGATTGTTTCTCTTCTATGGATATTTTCACGGGATTTTATAAAGACCTTTCTGATTTTAATAATGTAGAAATTATATTGGGCCTTGAATCTTTATATGGATAACAAAATGAAGTAACAAAGTTGATGTTATCTCCAAAAAAAATATATCTAAAAACAGCTATGATAATACGATATCAATAATTTTGACCATATACCCAAAATTTATTTGTTTTCTTGAGTTTCTAAAGACTGCATTGATTTCCTCAATTGAATAAAATCAGCAGTTTTGGATCATTACATTAAGTTCATTTATATATGGTTTATTTGAATTTACCGAAGACGACGATGAATTATTGGGGAAGAATTTCGTTAAAAAAAAATTAGAAATGATCTCAAATAAATCGAATGTCTGTAATTATATTTCAGGAATTGCTGATGTAACTAGAAACGACAAAAAACAGGAGTACGATTATTTGGACAGATGGGAACAATCACTCTTAGCTTCTACAAGTTATAGTCAAGTTTTCTTACACTACAGTACCTTAGATTCATGCGTGATGTGGTCAAGGTCTGCCCTGTTAGCCCGATGTAGGATATGCCGAAGACAAAAAGATTCTGAAAACATGCTTCTATGTGACAACTGTAACCTGGGACATCATCTTTACTGCCTGAAGCCAAAATTAACGGTATGGTTCAGTTTACAAAATGAAATATTTCGAGAATGTTCCAATCCCCATTTTTCTAAACATTCATTTTTTGATATCTTCATATATCTACCTATTTCTAGAAATGTATCCTGAAAAGTATTTGACAAAAACAATAATTTAGTTAGCTCTTGATCAATTATTTTTGTTTTAATAGCTCATACAACTTTTCACTCGGGTAGATGAAAAAATTACTGGCATGCAAAAAAAATTTTAATTTCTTGAATTGGAGCCACAGGGTTCCGTTCTTGGCCCTTCATTATCCTTTCTGTATGTAAATGACCATCTACAATATTTAGACGATGTTCATTTTTAAAACATTTGTTGGTGATGCATGTTACATTTTGTGATCACAAAGTTTCTTTCACTTTTTAGAGTATACCCAAAGGAGACTGGTTCTGTGACAGATGTAAAAGGGAAAAAGAGAAAGCAGCCAAACTCCTCAGTCCACAACCCACGCCCACAAAGAAAAGAAGAATATTCAGAGATGAAGACATAGAGGAAGAAGAAGAAAGCAATGGGGAAGTTGAAGAGTGCCCTGTCGATGATGCTGATTCTTCAGATGAGGAAATGGAGGTGGATGAAGAAGTTAGAAATGGGTGAGTCAAAAATAATGTACTATTTTGTATATTTAATATCTCTCTGACCTATCTCGTATGCATATTTATTCCTAGAATTTCTTTTTGAACACTTGGGAAAACGTATTCACGGAAACGTCCTGTATTTTTTTAAATAATTTATTGCCCAACAGGTAACACCCAAATACAGGACATAATTAAATACATCAGTACTGATAATAGATAAAATGAATTAACAAATCATGTTCATTCTTGACATGCTATATGAATATAACAAACAATCTGTTTCTGTTTTTCCGTTAACCAGCTGTCGCACCCAATAAAGGAATAGTAATTCATGGTGATACAATTAGTTAATTGAATATTGTGCAGCAATTTATAAAATTGTTGTTTTATTTGGATAGTCAAATTTTAGTTTTACCAAATGTTTATTAACAATGATAAGAAAATGTATTGATACAAATTCAAATCTTCATTTTGTGAGTCAAAAGGTTCACTCTTGAAAGATAAGGAAGTTTTCTGGGAAAATGAGAGTAATCTTGAGAAAAGAATATGTTGTAGATATATAGTAAAAGTATTATTTGGAAATAGAATTGGTGAGCGCAAAAGAATAAATTACTCACACCAAAGTTTACAATTTTTTTAACGAAACATCTCCTTTCAGGGAAATAAAAATAGAAATCTGTAAGACATGTGGTTCTGGTGGCGTACTGATTTCCTGCGAAAAATGCACTTCACATTATCACATAGAATGTTGTAACCCGCCTTTAAGACGAGCACCAAGAGCTCCATGGCATTGTAATTCCTGTAAAAATCCCAAAGAGAGAAGAGAGAGGAAACAAGTATCAGGTTAGTATTATTTTTCATGTACGAAAAGTGTGGTTGACTGATAGGTATCGATTTATTTTAACAAAAATCTGGGAGAGCGACGCCAACTTCTATTTTGTCCCCGTCAAAGTAGTCCCCCTCAGATATAATGCACTTGTCCCAGCGTTTTTTCCAATCCTCGAAACAGTTCTGATATGCACTTTTTGGTATGTCGTTGAGCTTTTTTAGCGAATCGGTGTATATCTTCTCAATCGTCGCAAAACGCCGTCCTTTCATGGGTTTGACCAAACAACCAAGTGGCAAGAACTTCTCATGCACTACGCCACGTAATCGAAGGTAATCGAAGAAAACGGTGAGCAAAACCTTGACATTTGATAGAACTTGGCCTGTTTTTTGTATCTTGGCTTTCCTGGGCTCATCCATTGGGGCGATTGGACTTAGGTTTTAATGTCATAACCATATATCTTTTATTTGTCAACAGTTAGGACCCATGTGGGTTGCCGTTGACATCATTCAACAATTCCTGAGCGATGCTCATGCCCAAAATTTACTAAAAAATTGCAAGACATGAGCCGACCGAATTTCTAAGCAACTTCCCTATTCGACGACTCTCTTTTACAATTTTCTTCACTTTCTTAACATTTTCGTCGGTTGTTGGTGTCCTGGGACTTCTAGGGTGACCGTTATCAGTCACATCTTCTCGGCCTGCTCTGAAAAAGTTGTACCACTTAAAAAACTTTTTTCTGACTCAGAGTACAATCACACTATGCCACTGTCAATATTTCAAATTCGCTGATCCATTTCTTTAATAGCATAAAATCGCCGAAAAGGCAAAACACCTCTCTAATTTTTATGCCTCTAACCAATAAACTAAACAAACCTAACAGCTGAAACTGTGAACATATGTTCAAGACGATTGTACCACCATAAAAAAAATTGCGTATACCGCAAAATTTGAACATTCACTTTATTTTTTAACAGACATCGTTTATTCTGCCAGTTTGATTTACCCGAAAATGTGTTTATTCAATGACATATTGGAACATCATCACAATTATCTCGGCGTTTTTTTGCTTTCATTATTTTAATCAAATTAATTTTAATGATTTGAAAATGTGTTGAATGAAATTTTTCTTATTAAGATTCCGAAGAGTCTGGGGACGAAGTCATCATCAACCAAAGACGGTCTCATCGAAGAGAAGATGGCAGAGAGGATCTACCCCTACACAATGTGGCCTTGCAGGAACTGTTGACAGAGGTGATGAGGCATGATGATGCATGGCCTTTCCTCAGGCCTGTACCGAAAAATGAGGTATTTTATTATAAACCAATTTATTTTATAACACCCGCCAACAAATAAGAAAAAAAATTACGACTAATATACTTAAGAGTTTAAACCATCNTTAATTTTTTCTAAATCAGCTTTAATGGTACTCTTCAAGGAAACCAAATCCTTTCCACGCCACAATAAAGTGGTGTCATCTGCAAATAGTGTAATTTTACCATCAATATTGATGTTAGGAAGATCATTCACATATAGGAGAAATAAGATAGGACCTAGAACAGATCCTTGAGGAACTCCACGGCATATTTTGGAGAGACTGGATGTTTTATTTCCTACCTTGACAATTTGATTTCTGTCAGAGAGAAAAGAGCTGAACCATTCGAGGGTTGGCCCTCTGAAACCATAAAGAAATAATTTCTTCAGCAATATTCTGTGATCTACACAGTCAAAGGCCTTAGAAAAATCACAGAATACTGCAGCGGCCGCCTCGCCTTGATTTAGGCCTAAATATAGCTCTTCCAAGAAGTCTTGCTGGAAATTATCACCTTCAACAATCTGAAAATAATAAATAAGATAAAAACTGTTATGTAGGTATAGGCAGGTCAAACTTCTAATTTACTCTGGTAAGTTACTCCATAATTTGTATTTTATAATTTATATAGGCAAAATATCAAAATACGACAGTTACATTGAATGTATCAAGTAACTTGTTGGGGTAAATTAGAAGTTTGCCCTTTCTAAACCTATATAAAGTTCTTCTTTACAGTTTCGGTTGGTAGCCGGTCGGTGCGACGTGGGTGCTTTGTTCACTAACTCAAATCGACCGCCGTGTTGGTCGTGGTTCAAGCCTCAGGCTGAATGATCGATTTTCACTTGCTATCGTCCAACCCGTATTAGGAATCACACGTTAAAAGGAAAGACCTCGTTAGTCCTTAGCTCGCGCAAGTTTCGACTTCTGAGGGTTGCCGTTCGTAGGAGTGTGACAGCTGGTTAATGGAAAAACAGATTTTTTTTAAACAGAATTATTTTCAGATTGTGAAAGGCGTGAATGTTCAGAATGATCTATAAAAAATGATTTCCTCCACAAAAAATTACTTTTGTTCAATACAAATGTGTACTTTTAACTCGCTACAGTTTTTTGTAACATATCGATTATTTGTTGCAGGTACCTGACTATTATGATGTGATCACAAAACCCATGGATTTCGGAACAATTAAATATAAACTTAATATGGGAGAATATGCGGAAGATGGTCAATTGATGCAGGATGTAGTTCTAGTATTCGAAAACTGCAATACATATAATGACACTGATGCAGATGTTTATAAGTGAGTACAATAAAATAATGCCTGTCAACAAAACTGCAACATATTTTTTTGCAATTATTTATGTTTTACCACATTTGTTTCAAGCATCACGTTTCTTCATTGGTATGAATTAATTATTTGTTTTTTAGGTGTGGTGTTAGATTACTGCGATTCTTTGAGAAAAAGGCGAAAGAATTAGGACTTAAGTTACCTGAGGAAATGGAAACTGAAACTTTGAAACCACCGAAGAGTAAAAAAAGACGCACTAGATAAGAGTATGAATTTTAGTTCATTCACAAACGTATAGCTTTCATTGTTTGTCCCTACTACTAGTGCTGCCTCTCGTGACACGTCTGCTGTACTATTCTCAGGAAAAAGGCTCATTAAGAGAAACCAAACCATGCCCACTAAGTCATGCCAGAGTCAAATACCAGCATCTTAGTTAATGCGGTCGGAACAACTCAAGCACTGCGACCGTTACCACATCGCCTTTGATGTTTACCGCAGTAGTAGACGAAACGTCAGGTATAAAAACCTGCAGACCACGGCTAAAAAACCCGGAAAATAGCTTTCACAGTCATCTCCGGTCGTGAAAGTTTACATTCTCTTGATAAACAAACCAATTTCACGCCACTATAGGCATAAATCAACTCGTCCCTGGTAAGATCTGTTGTTTGCTATACAGAAAAAAAGGTGTGGACCCGGTAAAGTACTATAAACCTGCCTGTACGAGCTGTGGTAAATCATAATAACCACAAAATTTTGTTTGACCACTTTGTTAGCGTTTTGCAGTTATTACTTTTTAATGTTAGGAAACAGTTTCAATACTTGAGTTACCAGGAGCAATATAACAATATGGTTTTTTAGGCAATCAACCGAATTAAAACAATGTAATTTTTCTTAAAGACTCATCAATTATCTTATATATTTAGGGTTTTGAAAAAAAAAAAAACACAAAATATACTCCATAAGTTTATTGTTTCCACTGACTGATCCAATTGAAGTTTCCCACTTCAGAGAATATGTCCCTTTTTCATATCCAGAAATACTAAATCCCCCATATATAAATCTTTCAAGTTCCAGTTCCAGGGGTATCATCCATTTCAAAATTAGGAAGCGATATATGAATCATATTTTGTGGTACATGGTCCCTAATTGTAAACCTTTTGTCATTAGGTTCTACAATAGTTTGAACATATCCAAACCAATATATTACCAAGCCGGGTCCAAATCTGTAAGTAAAAACAAACTATGACAAGCATCCACCTCAAATGTTTCTAGAAAATATTATTGTATTTTTTTCAGTAAAATTAACACTCCATCAACCTGTTGTCTCTACAAAGTACAATGAAAAGTATAACTGAGGTTTTACCTTTTGAAACCCCAGCTACACAATTTTATACCAGTTGTTATAATTTCATTTATTAGAAGTAAAATTATTTACAATCTTAGATTTATGCATCCTCAAATATGTGAGCCATGACTCTTGTAAATTGATGAAATGCACACACTGTGGACACTCATCAGTAACCTTTGATCCTTTCTGGGATTTGTCTTTCTCCATACCACAAAGAACCGGCCAATTGAGTTTGTGGCAATGCTTGGATTCGTTCACAAGAGAAAAAACTCTGGATGGAAATGAAAAACCGACGTGTTCGAAATGCAAGGAAAGTAGAAAATGCACAAAGTCCCCATCAATCCACTTGTTTCCCCATATTTCACTAATTTATTTAAAAAGATTTTCTCCATTGGAAAGATTTAGAGGCAAATTGAATGTTGTCATCAAATTTCCTCTAGAAAGATTGGATATGGATAATTTTGGGCAAGACTCGGCAAGCTATCAAGGAGTCATATGTTATAACAAAGCAACTAGGTTACTAGGAAATATTGAAAATTACAATACATTCAAAAAAGCTTTAATAGACCTTCTCCTAGAAAATGCCTTTGACAATGTCGAAGAATTTTCAGATTTTAATGTATACGCTGCTTTTTCTTCAATTTGTATGACTAGTCTGATAAATATTGTACCAATAATGTATATGTTATATGTGTATGATATTTTAATGTTGAATAAATTCTATTCTATACTATAATGATTATGTTATTAAACAATATTAAACAGTACTTGTTTAAATAGAAAAGATTATATTTTTGGGAGTGATTAATTTTTGTGAAAGAAAGTTTTTGGCTTTCTACTACTCCACCTCGATACAAAAAAAGTGGGAATCTTTCAAAGTTACTCCTTTGCACGATCTATACACCTATGTAGTGAGTTACTTCTTTTGAAATTGATCGCTGATTTGCCATTTTCAATTTTCCTACCTATTTTAATCCGAACATTTTTTCTCTCCCAATAATGACCAAGATGACCCACTCTCTATCTAGCTAGGTAGAATATTGTATTGTAAATTTACATTCATTACATTTTAAACCTTGTAAGGGTACTGTCAGAATGAACCTTGTCTTTTCTACAGCACATCCTGCCAGTCATTTATCTTATCTTACCTTTCAACAAGAGTTAATATAATTCTTGTGTGTGTTAATTATTCATACTTACGATAAAATAATCGTGGGTCAAAACAATAACAACTTTTTTTGTTATTTCATATGAGTACTTACATATTATGTATCAACACTATAGAAAAAAAATATTCAAAACAAGAGAGAAAGAAAATAAAACAAAAAGAAAATACACATTTGAAACTGCGGTGAACATTTTTCTAAATGGTCAATGGCCGGTTTTTTTGTTTGGGCTGGCCGGAAGGCGATGTCAACACATGTGTGCACCACATGGTTCAAGGATTGGGCTTTTGAGAAGCCGGTGAAATCGCTGGTGAATCTATAATATCCTCAAATTTCGTTTTTATATGAGTGCAAGCCTACGGTAAAAGAACGAAATCGGTTTCGCACTTCGTTGCAAGGTCACCGAGAACTTTGTGAATTTAAGTAGTGGGAGTTGACTTACTGGTTGATTATTTTTACTGTGGCCATACAGTCAATAAGTTGTATTATCTTGAAGTTATGCACCGCTTGCAAGAAGCAATACAATACGTTCAGTATTGTGGAAAAATTTTTTTATGACTTTTGCATCACGATAATGCACCTGCTTACTCGTCATCGCTTGTTCATAACCTTTTGGTCAAACACAACACAGTAATTATACCTCAGCCACCGTATTCAGCAGATTTGGCCCTCTGCGACTTTTTCCTGTTTCCAAGATTGAAGAGACCCATGAAAGAACAGCATTTTGCGACGATTGAGTAGATAAAATACGAATCGCTAATAGAGCTCAAGGACATACCAAAAAGTATCGGAACTACTTCGCCGATTGGAAAAAAAGCTGGCATAAGTGTATTATATCTGGAGAAGACTACTTTGAAGGGGACAAAATAGAAAATGACGAATAGATAAATATTTTTTTGAGAAAAATTAAAATTCACTAAATTTTTTGAACAGTATGTTATACATCAGAATTGCATTAGACAAATCTAACATGAGAATCTAATGAAAATTTCAACGCTCTTCAGTTTTAATCGCACAATAAGAGACAGTGCTTCAATTCTGGTAAGGAAGAAGCTTTTTCATTAGATTCGTTTTATGCCAGATATTTCAGTTCTTCCTTTCAAACTAATATGTTTCATAATACCTATTCCAGTAACTCAAATATTGATTTTTCATGTAATCCTTGTGAACGTCCTCGTCTCCAAACAAAGCTTTACTTTCAATCCAATTCACCACAAGTCCGTCAATCATTACTGGTACCTCCAACTTGCAATCTGGAGTTTTATCATACCCATGTTTTCTGAGATGTTCTTCATCTCTGAATCCCAGACCAAGTTTAGTTACTTCTCTGCACAGTTTTACCTCATACTGCTGTCCCACAGAACTAAAAGAGGAATCAATGTTTTACAATTTTTTGTCTTATAACGAGTGAAAATGATTTCAGAACCAATAATTAGAATATGAAATATCAATTCTCTATATAATGATTTCAAGAAGCTCATTAATTTTTGGGAAATAAAGGTTTTGGCTTTTTACTTCTCCATCTTTCATTGAAAGATTCCCACAATTTTTGTATCATGATGGAGAAGTGTAGAAAGCCAAAACTTTCGTTCTCAAAAATTAATCTCTCCTAAAAATATACCCTTTCAATTCAAACAAGATTCCTATGGCTGGGATTTAATCAAATAAGTGAATGAATGTTATTTACGTACTGTCATCAATGACATGGGTGGATTTAACCCATTTTCTGACAAAAGTCGTAATTTTATGAACGAATTGAGTGTTTTTTTCTTATAATGTTATCCGTATCTGCTACTGAAGAGCCGATAAGGCAAGTGTCTTACCGAGAAACATTGGATGTTTAGCAGTGCGGATGACACTGTTCCATGTAAGTGAAATTTTACTTCTTTCATTAATTATAATGTGCAGGAATCCTGTGAATGATATCTGATTCGATTCCATAATGTTTGGAATACAAACGGAATAGAGAAAAGTGTTTTTCGTATAGTTCAGCATTCACATGAAAGTATTTGTTGCGAAAGTATTTTTCTTTCGTGTAATTCCGTGTAAATCAAGGTGTAATAATTCGTTGGGTACAAACCAGGGGGCATTGGTTATCATGCGGAGTGCTTTATTTTGAAACCTTTGTATGATTTCAATGTTTGAATGTGATGCAGTACGCCACAGTTGGATTTCATTCGTGCATACGGGCTTCAGTATTGCCTTGTACAGAAGTATGATTAACAAAATTATTATTATAGTGTCCCAGTTGCAAAACCTTTTTGAAAACAAGAGTAGTCAAAAATTCATTCACTTTCTCTTTCTGATTATTTTTTTTTGAACAGATTAAGAAGTACATATTTATTTGTGAACATATTGTGAATATTTCTATATTGTACTTGTACTCAACCTGATACAAACATTTTTTATGTAAAGTAGACAAATGAACATGAGTATTCTACACAACAGAAGTGTATTTCAAACTTGGCTTTATTAATGAACAAAACAAAATGTATCAATTGTAAACTAATTCTAGTGTAATCTGAAAAGTTTTAGGGATTCGAGCATGTATCTAATTTGATGCCAAGATCTTTGATTTGGTTATGTGGGAGGGAATTGATGCAGTATTGCACTATTTTCAAAAATTGACAGTTGTGAATCAGTTTTTAGTTTTATAGCTAATTTTTTTTAATAATCACTTACTTTTTAATTTGCTGGCTGTATTTCAATTTATTTTATTGCCAACATCGCTAAAATTAAAAAAATTAACATAATAGTTCAACAAATGTAAAATTATACAAAATGAGAAACATATGTTGACAGGATGGATTTGATTTCCATATGCAAAGTGCTATAGTTTCATTGTATTAGCAATACAGTTTGGGACCTATAAAATGAACATTATAATCCATTAATGCATCAATAACATTGCATTACTTAATGTATAAATTAGAAATTAAAGAGTCTGTACCGGTTAATACAAAAGTACCTACTAAAAAAATTTCAGAAGCCAAATTCATATCCGGAATCAAAGTAGTGTCTCGTAAATAACTATTTACATTTAAGGTTACTTGATCACTCAATCCTGAGCTTTCGTTATTCTCAAAATACTGACTCAAAATAAGTTTCGCAACCAAACATGGTGCTACATCAAGTCGTTCAGCTATCCTCACTATAATGCCTGGACTGTCCATGTTTTTAACTCCTTCTAGGTAAAGTTCCCAATACTTGTTTTTATTCATTTGGGTCTTCATGTGGTTGCATTTCATTCGTTTCTGGTATTCCAGTGACAAAATACTGAATAACGTGTCATAACTTTGTCTGAAAAAGATATTAATAGGATTAAATAGATTTTTTGTCATTGAATTTTCATATGGATTAAAAGGACTCACTCAGGAAATAATTTTACTAACTGCTTCATGCAAGTTCTAGTCAGACCGCGGCTTTTTCTTATGTGAGAAACAATGTTAAAATAAATTTCGGGTTCCATTTACACGTTTTTTGTTCAAAGAAACCAATAAACTAAAATAACAATAACAGGTTCAAAAAGACAGAACCAAACCTATAACTCCAAAACAAAACATCAACAAATTGCTAGGTTATCATTTTCTTCTTCTGTTTTGTAATTGTTGGTTTGACTATTAGGCCACCGTTGTTCTGGAGGACCTACGTGAATTTTTTTATCTCTTTTTGGTACAGGAGAACTTCTAGGACTTGGAGTAGAAGATTGCGGTCTGCCTCGTTTTGGAGTATTTGTAGGAATTCCAGAAAAAGCCAGACTTTCTGCAATTATCATGGTGAACTGGAGTAAATCCAAATGAAATTGTTGATTTCTCTGAACGATATCACGTCGATATTCCAACCAAGCGTTACAAACAGCCAAATTGAAATAATGAAAAATAACTCGTAAAGTCCATTTTCTGGAACGAATGAAGGTGCGGTAGAGTGCAATCAAAAAATCACTTTTATCCACTCCTCCCATGGACATGTTATACAAACGTATAATTGCTTGACGTTGAACCATGATATATATACTCCCTGCTTTTTGTCACATCGCTTGACCTCATCTTCTGGCTCTATTCCAATAAAGTTGGATGCCATGTTGACTACTTTGTTGTCATACCAATGAACAGCAACAACTTCATTGTCACTGGTGACCAACGAGTCGCAGCTACCTCGACCAAGTTTTTGTAGCTGCCGTTCCATTTTCAGCTGACACTTTTTGAGTCTATTATTTCTTATGGTTCCAGCCATAAAAATGCCTCTTTGAAGAAGTTCACGCAGTAATAGGACTGATGTAAAGTAGTTGTCGCAAAATAACTTATGTCCATGATGATCGGGAATTATGTATGACAAATAAGTCACCAATCCATCGGTAGCTGCATATTTTTCTTGAATATCTATAGAAACTGTTGTAGAGCCTTGATATAAAATGGAACGATATAAGATATCAGAAGAACCACAAAGCATAAATACTTTTACCCCCCAAGGGTTCGGTTTACCCTGTATGTATTGCTTTACTACAAGTTGGCCATTGAATGGAATCATTGATTCATCAATACAAAGATTTTCTTCCAGATCTAATTGCTCGCACTTACTTTCGAAAGAACTGATTAAAGGACGTACTTTCCAAAGTTTATCACTTTTATCATACTCTGCATTCACGTCAATAATATGAAGATTATTCCTAAGGCTTTCGAATCTATTCCTTGACATTCCAATGTCACTTATAAAATTGTATCTTTGGGGCGGATGTCCAATACATCCTCAATCTGGGAAAACGAATTATACCAATTACAATATGTAATGCAACAAGTTATTTCATTTCTTGTTCATTCGTATTGAGGCTTTTTCCACCGTGATAAACTGAATTTTGTTTTATCTGCTAGTTCCAAAAAAACAGAATTTGGGAAATATTTACAAAAATACGTCATTGGTATTTGAATTTCCTCATTTTCGATGGGGTTGTCGGGTGGAACGTAAACTACATTTGGAGGCAAAAATTGCTTTCGTGTCCAAGATTCTTTCATATTGTCATTTTTTTTGTTTTGTTTTTTTAGATGATAATGATATCGCTAATTGTGCCAATGGAATATTATCGTCTTCATCATATTAACTTTCATCTTTTTGTCTACTTGAGTCCGGTGCTTCATAATCTTCTATTTGCTCTTCAATATCAGAGTCAGGAATGGAAGATACTGCTGCTTCAGCTTCTTTCAAAGTCACTGTTCTAGCAATTTTTTTCTGATTGCCATAAAATGTCATTGGCGGTATCTCATCATCTGAAAAAAAAATAATATTGAACATACTGCGAAGACCTGATGGTGGCAACTACGTACAACATTTTGAAAAACAACATCAAGAAAAACTACCGCACGCCATTATCAACCGTTTTCATGAAACTCATTTACATCCTATACACTTCATAATTCAGCTATGATAAAACGTATGGAACGTCTTGCAAAATAATTATTGGTACTTACATTGTATGTCGTTTGGCTCAGCCATTTTCTTGACAGGACACACTCTAAAAAATGTTGCTGAATAATATACCGGCACTCAAACTGCCAAAAGAGTGAATCACATACCTTCAGAATGGATCTCACCAAACTTACAGAGCTCTGAATTTCGCGGTGGCAATTGCCACCGGTAGGGCCGAAAGGGTTAAGGATATGGTGTTTTATTACGGCTTTCTCCGTGATTTATGATGTCACTGATAGCAAAGCGACTGGTCTATAGTTATTTGAAAGATTTTTTTTGCCCTTTTTGGGAATAAGCTGAACGCGATCAATCTTCCAACAAGAAGGAAACCCCCCTTCTTTGTAAGACAAGTGGAATAGTGGGTGGTGCCTTTCCCAGAAAATTGTCTGTGGGGTGTGACGAAAATTGTTTAGCTAGTAGATTTGCAATAAAATGACACCAGAGCAATTTTATAGAGTGTTTGTCAACAAATAATTCTCACTAGAAATTTGTTCAATTTTATTGGCGCTCCGAAGTTGACCGGGTTCTTGAATATTCGTAAGAATAGGATAAAAACGAACCATTAGGTACGCACAATTTTCTATTGTATATTTTTTTATTCATATATCAGTGATACGTAAGATACCACAATATGTAGCGGGTAAAGGATCATTCTGACGGAGCGAGAAGAAATCGGAGAATAATCACGAGTATTCCAGGTATATACAGAAAGGCAAGGCAGTCCTATAGGTAGAAATCTGACAAGCAGCGAGAGTAAATAAAATAGATGAAAAGTAATTGAAGTAGGTACATTGTTTGAATAAAATTGTTGAATTTGAATGAGCATACCATTTATTGAGAACACAAATAAAAATGTAATATTATTTTGTTGATAAGCTATCACTTTCTTATTTGCCAATTAGAATTTTTAGGACATTGCCCATACGAACCGTCGACAAATAAACTTTTGAGTAGGTAGGTAGTATTTATTGTGTGGTATTCCTCCTGTCACCCTAAAATCATTTTTAAAAACGACTCCATCGTCAATTTCTTTTGAAGTATAATGAGAACGTGGTTTCTCAACCTCAAGTATGAATAAAGTTTCGAAGCGAAAGCAGCGGTTTTAATATCTCTCGAAATGAAATTTACGGCCCAGTTTATATTTTTAATTTCGATAGTAATTTGCATCTGAAGTCTTTGTCGTGCAGAAGGGAATATCAAAGTGCGGTTTGAATCCAAATATTGACGAATAGAAAGCCAGCAGGGCGAATCCACAAAGCAATATTACTCCGCTCCGAATTGTTTATGGTTGACTCGAAATGAGAAAATCGCTTTAATCTGCACACCAGGCTTTATTGAAATTGAACTCGAAACTGGTGAGATTTACGCAGAACTGGTTGTTTGCGAAATTTTCGTGTTTTCGCCGTGTTTGTCAAATGTTATGAGAGAAGTTCGATGTAGATTCTGCGAGATAAACAGTTCCGTACTAGTTTAAAATAGTAGAGCAAGTAACAATTTAACTTTTCTCGAGAGTTTTCTATTTTTAAACGGTTTTATTTAGCTTGCTCTGTTTGTTTGTTTGGGTCAAATTTAGTTATTGACCTCCTTCCTATTGACAGATTGATATGATATTTGATACACATACTTAGTTTCGATGACAATACAATTTAATAAATTCGGTATCATCGTAAAGCCAGGATGGCCGCAGCTACAAAATGGCCGATTACAAGTAGTTTCACAACTACCTCAATATGGGTATCAAATGGCAGGGCTCGACTAGTAGAATAGTACTTCCTTTTGAAAAAGATGCAAATTCAAAATGGCCGCAGCTACAAAATGGCGGATTACATATTACCTTGTAATACTGAGGCATTAAATGAACTGAAATAATGGGAAGAATTGAGTAACAAAATTAGAAACTAAAAAGTAAACAAAATTTCATGTTTTAAGGTTTTATTGAAAAAAAAAAGATAATGATGTAGATAATGTACCTACTGAAAACTAAAAAATAATTCGGAAGGTCCTAGGTAGCAGTCATGATCAATACCGTAGATTGCTGAGGGGAGTGGTGTGATGACTACTACCTAGGACCTTCCGAGTTATTTTTTAATTTTTAGTACATTATCTATATCATCAATATATTTTGTTTTCGATAAAACCGTTCAATATAATTTTTTTACTTATATTATTCACTTTTTAATGACACTTTTTCAATAACAGTCATTGCCAAATAATTATGTATATAAAATGTTCTTACTTACTTGTAAGAATTCAGTTATAGTCATCTTCTGATGATGCTAATTTGGTTAGCGAAACGCGCGAGAGACAGTTTTTGGTTGAGAGAAGTATTTTCAATAAGGTCTTTTTTCGGCAGAGGTTCTATTGTATCAATTCAAAATCAGATTGCCTGAGGAAAAGCCATGAATGAATTTGATGGCTACTTAGACGGATTGCGACTGAACATCCGCTGTGAAATACTATATTTTCAACAAGACGGTGCCCCTCCCAATAATGCAACAATAGTGAGGGAAATACAAGCACTACAGGAAACTCCTTGAGGTGCTCTTAGAGCGGTACCTGTGCAAAAGTAGCGATTCACATTGGATTTGAATCGCTGGAGATTAAATTCATTTGGAAAAACGTTCTCAGGAAGTTTATTCCACATAAACGTAGTTCTCCAAATGGAAGGGTTCTCAAACAGTGAAGTTCGGGGTGCACTCAGTTGAACCTCAAAACGATGAGCAGCCACAGTCTGTCGCGTATTTCTGATGCATACCGCTCTTGGTGGAAACAAATGTGCCAAGTCACTTGAAAACCTCCCGTGAAAGAATCTATAGAAGAGAGACAAATCCACAACCTTTCTTCGATGTTCCGGACTATCAAGGTTGCAAGTGATGTTCGCGTCTTCAATCAGGCGGATGGCTCTTTTCTGGAAGGAATCCAACACCTTTAGGGTATGCTTAGGGGCGGAGATCAATACATGAGAACAATACTCAAAAGATAGTCTGATCTGAGCTTTACACAGCATCAAACATTGCTTTTTTTTTGACACCTTGACACGTGTTTTAATCACCAAGTGATCATCTTCAAGAGGAATATTAAACTAAATCTACATACAATGTTGT